ATTTTGACAAGGGTGCGGAAGGGAAAGATTTTCACAAAGCTGGACCTAAGGGGGGCGTACAACCTGGTACAAATAAGGAAGGGGGATGAATGGAAAACCACTATGTTCACCCCTTTAGGGGCATTTGAATATTTGGTTATGCCCTTCGGCCTACAAGCAGGCTCCGCAACATTTCAATCGTTTATGAACCACGTCCTGGGGCCTTTGCTTTACAAGAATTGTGTGGCCTTTTAGACGACGTGTTGGTGTATTCTGAGAATGAGGAGCAGCATGTGAGAGACGTCAGAGAAGTGTTGAGCAGGCTGCAAGCCAACCAGCTGTGGGTGAAACTGGAGAAGTGTCAGTTTCATACCAAGGAGGTGGAATTCCTGGGGTATCGCCTGTCAGACAAGGGATTGGCCATGGATCCCGGCAAGGTCCAGGCGGTGCTGGAATGGAAAACACCCAAAACAAAGAAGGATGTGCAGAGGTTCCTAGGATTTGGAAACTTCTATCGTAAGTTCATCCGAAACTTTGCCCACCTGACGGCGCCCATTACGGACTGTCTCAGCAGTAAGAAGAAGTTCGTGTGGACTGAGGAGGCGGAGCGAGCATTTGAGGAACTAAAAGGGCCTTCGCCTCGGAACAACAACTCCTGCATGTGGATTTACAAAAACCGATGAGAGTGGAAACTGACGCATCAGACAGAGCGATTGGGGCGGTGCTTCTGCAGCCAGGCAAGAAGGGGTCAGAGTGGAGACCGTGTGCTTTCTTTTCGCGAAAGCTGAACAAATCCGAGAGGAACTACACGGTGTATGACCGAGAACTACTAGCCATTCATGAGGCGTTCCGGAGATGGAGGCACCTGCTAATTGGCGCACAACATAAGGTGCAAGTGTGCACTGACCACAAGAACCTAGAGTATTGGAGGACGGCACGAGTGCTCAACCAACGGCAAGTGAGATGGGCCCAGGAGTTCTCCAAATTTAACTTTGAGATTAGTTACGTGCCAGGCCCAGAGAACATTAGGGCGGACGCTCTCTCACGCAAACCTGAATATTTGGAGGAGGGGGCACCCGAAGAGAGACATGTCATTCCAGAAGACCACTGGGTGTGTGGGGCGGCATTGGTGGGACAAAGAGAACTGGTAGAGGAAACAGAGAATGATGAATACGCCCAGAATAAGCTCAGAGGTCTTAGGGGTGATGGAGAGGAACCAGGGGTTTTGAGGAAAGAAATGGAGCTTTGTATTACAAAGGGGCACTGTATATCCCTGAAGGAGAGTTAAGGGGAGGGTACTCAAGCAGTTGCACGACAGCCCTACGGCGGGGCATTTTGGACAACACAAAACCATGTGGTTGGTCACCAGGGAATTTTGGTGGCCTAAGGTGAGGGAAGATGTACGTGAGTATGTAAGAGGGTGCGAGCAATGCCAGCGAGCCAAAGGGGAAAGGCGGGCGCCGGCGGGGCTAGTTAGAACCCTTACCAACCCCAGAACGACCTTGGGAGGCAGTGTCGATAGATTTTATGACTGATCTGCCGAAGTCCAAAGGGAAAACAGCCATCATGGTGGTGGTAGACCTACTAACAAAGATGTGCCACTTTGTAGCTTGCTCGCATGCAGTCACGGCGGAAGAGACAGCGAAGTTATTTGTAGAACACATTTTTAGGTTGCACGGGGTGCCATTGAGGGTGGTCTCAGACCGAGGAAAACAATTTACTTCCAGGTTCTGGAGGAAGCTCATGAGCTTACTGCAGGTGGAGGTCAATTTTTCGACTGCCCGGCACCCTGAAACCAACGGGCAGGCGGAAAGAGCAAACGGTGTCCTCCAGCAATACCTGAGGTGTTATGTCAATGACAGAGAGAATGACTGGGTAGAAAAGTTGGCGCTGGCGGAATTTGCCTACAACAATGCCGAGAATGTGTCCACAGGGATGAGCCCCTTCTTGGCTAATTATGGGTGTCATCCCAGGGATTTCCCAGGGGGAGGGGAGAGATGGAGCGTCCCGGCAGCCGAGCATTTTGTGGAAGAAATGGAAGCAATCCATCGTCAGCTCCAACTCAACTTAGAAAGGGCGAAGGAAGAATACAAGAGGCAGGCAGACAAGAACCGAAGGGAAGGTGAAACCATAAGGGTGGGAGATAGGGTGTGGCTGTCAACCCAAGGGTTGCCGTTCAAAGGAGGTTGTAAGAAATTAAGACCCAGGAGGTTGGGTCCCTTTGAGGTCATTCAACAGGTCAACCCAGTGGCTTTCAGGCTCCGGTTACCCAACCACATGAAACTGCACCCAGTATTTCACAGGTCGTTACTGTCACCGTACGAAGGGGGACGAGAAGGGCTGGCCACTCGGGGACCGGTCGTAGAAGAAAGAGAATGCAGCAGCCATGTGGCAGAAATCCTCGACGCCAGGTGGAAGGGGGATCAGGTGGAGTATTTGGTAGCGTGGGAAGGAGAACCGGAGTCAGAAAACACTTGGGTAATGGCTGAAGATATCAATGACGAGGTATTGATAGAAACGTTCCATCAAAGGTTCCCAAGGAAACCTCAGCCTGTGGAGAGGTTCCGGAGGGAATACTTTGGGACCACTGATGAAGGGGAGGAGTTGGAAGGATTCCCGGACTCGGAAGGGGAAGGGAGATGGACACTGAGGAGGAGGTGTACTTAGATACCAGGAACCGCAACATTTTGAGAGAAGTGTTCTAGACATCGTAAGATGAAGGAAGTTCATTACTGGGTTTTGCCTCCTCACCGCCCGTAGAGGAGGGGGCGAGAGGGGGTGAAGGGGGCCCTGGAGGGGAGGTGGATGTCAGGGAACTGCCATCGGACGGAAGGGAGGTGAAAGGGCTCACACAGGTTGGGAGAGACGCAGCAGCTGAAGAGGGAACCAACAGGGAGGTGAAAGGGCTCACACAGGTTGGGAGAGACGCAGCAGCTGAAGAGGGAACCAGCAGGGGAGAGGAGCTGAGCTGGAGGGATGGCTCAGAGTCACTTCAAGCGAAAACAGTTGGGAAGTTTCAGGACCTCCTGTAAGAACACCCACTCCTCGCCGGAAACTGTCACGCAGAGATTCCAGAAGACGTGTTTCCGTTAAGGAGCTTTTATGTTGGAAGCGATTACGAAAGCAACCACTGTCGGAATCTGCTAGTGACTAGAGTAGCCATGTCTGAGGGGCTCCGTCACAGACAGAGGTTTGTGGACTTGAACAAACTCTGAGGGGATACGATTTTACGCACAAGCAGCTCATCATCCCATCACAATAACTGTTCCCAGTCAGCCATCATTATGTTATGTCCAACATCTTGTGCCCATTTAATCATATCTGATTTCACCATTTCATCCTGAGTGTTCCATTTCAACAGCAAGTTATACATTCTTGACAAATTCTTGATTTTTGGATCTAGCAATTCTGTTTCCAATTTTGATTTTTCCACCTGGAAACCAACTTTTTTGTCCAAATTGTATGCCTCCATTATTTGGTAATAATGGAGCCAATCTCGCACTTTGTTTTTCAATTTTTCAGAGCTCTGCAATTTTATTCTGTCTCCATCTTGTTCCAGAATTTCCCAATATTTCGGCCATCTAGCCTCCATATTGAGTTTTTTCTGTGCCTTTGCTTCCATTGGTGACAACCATCTTGGGGTTTTCTTTTCTAACAAATCCTTATATCTTATCCAAACATTAAACAATGCTTTTCTAACAATATGATTTTTAAACGCTTTATGTGCTTTTACCTTATCGTACCACAAATATGCATGCCAGCCAAATGCATTGTTGAAACCTTCTAAATCCAACACGTCAGTGTTTTCAAGAAGCAGCCATTCTCTCGGGCAGCTGATTCATAATAAAGTTTCAGGTCTGGCAGGGCAAATCCACCTCTTTCTTTGGCATCAGTTAATATCTTAAATTTTATTCGAGGCTTCTTGCCCTGCCAAACAAATCTGGAAATATCTTTCTGCCACTTCTTGAATCAATCCATCTTATCCAAAATTTGCAATGTTTGAAACAAAAACAACATCCTTGGCAACACATTCATCTTTATCACAGCAATTCGGCCTAACAATGATAACTTCAAATTTGTCCATATTTCTAAGTCCTTTTTCACTTCAATCCAACATTTTTCATAATTATCCTTAAATAAATTCACATTTTTGGCAGTCATGTTAACCCCTGAATATTTCACTTTCTTAACCAATGTTAGCCCTGTCTCCTCCTGAAACGTCTCTCTCTCATTCACAGTTAAGCTTTTCTCTAAAACCTTAGTCTTCATCTTGTTCAACTTAAAACCTGCTACCTGTCCGAATTCTTGAATCAGATCCAATACCCTTTTAGTACTAGATTCTGGCTCCTGTAAAGTCAATACTAAGTCATCAGCAAATGCTTTCAATTTGTACTGTTTAGCTCCCCGCCAGATGCAGCTTAGTCATGCTGGCCACATGACCCGGAAGTGTCTTCGGACAGCGCCAACTCCCAGCCTCTTGAGCGAAATGAGCGCGCAACCCTAGAGTCGGTCACGACTGGCCCTGATGGGCAGGGGTACCTTTTACCTTTAATCTCTACACACAGGGACGCGGGTGGCACTGTGGGTTAAACCACAGAGCCTAGGACTTGCTGAGCAGAAGGTTGGCGGTTCGAATCCCCGCAACGGGGTAAGCTCCCGTTGCTCAGTCCCTGCTCCTGCCAACCTAGCAGTTCGAAAGCACGTCAAAGTGCAAGTAGATAAATAGGTACTGCTCAGGCGGGAAGATAAACGGCGTTTCTGTGCACTGCTCTGGTTCGCCAGAAGCGGCTTAGTCATGCTGGCCACATGACCCGAAAGCTGTACGCCGGCTCCCTTGGCCAGTAAAGCGAGATGAGCACCGCAACCCCAGAGTCGTCCGTGACTGGACCTAATGGTCAGGGGTCCCTTTACCTTTTAATCTCTACACACACACACACACACACACACACACACATCTCAAGGCAAGCAAGAAGCATTATTGGAGTTCAAGGCTGCATTCCAGCCAGGAGAAAGCACACAAGGGCCAGTAAGGGGTGGATAGCTCAGCCGGTAGAGCAGGAGAGACTTAGTCTCAGGATAGTGGGTTTGAGCCCCACATTGGGCAAAATATTCCTGCATTGTAGGTGAGTGGACCCAATGGCCCTCGTGGTCCCTTCCAACTCTACAATCAAATTATTCTAAGTGTGGGGAAAAAGTATGCATGAGAGATATTTTTTTAGTGGGGAGAACAAGGATCTGTCCCCCCAGCTCTGAGGTTCCCCATCCCTGAATATTCAGGGTAGAGAAAAGAACACCCTTCTTCATACAGCCCGTAGTTAAACTATGGAACTCGCTCCCAGAGGAGCCATTGATGGCCACCAACTTTAAAAGGGGACTGACAATTCTTCATGGAGAGGGCTATTCATGGCCACAAGCCACAATGGCTATGCTCTGCCCCCACAGCTGGAGGCAGCAATGCTTCTGGAAACCACAGCAGGGGAGAGGGCTCTTGTGCTTGGGTCTTGCTTCGGGGTTTCCCCAGGCATCTGGTTGGCCACTGTGAGAACAGGATGTTGGACAAGATAGACCACTGGCCTGACCCAGCCGCCAGGCTCCCCTTATGTTCTTATGAATTAGTATATCCCATGCTGATAATATCCTCAGGTTGTTTTTTTAAAACCTTCCCATCCAAAATCAATCCTGCCCCATGAACCAGAGCATTGCCAGGTACTTAAAGGACAAAGGATATAGGCCCATGACTAATGTATAGAGAGAGATGCCTATGGGAAGATTAAGACGTCAGGTGACCGGCGATTTGCAATGCACTTATCACCCGTCCTGTTAGCAAAACTACCACCACCCCCAAAGAAAAATTATGGGAGGGCAAAGGGGGAGGAGATCCAGTGCCCCAGCACAGCCCTCCCGCCAAGCCCTGGGTCTTGGGTTCCCTGTGCCACCCCCTAACACTGCCCCTGCCGTGACCCATTCTCTCCCTTCCATGCTCTTTCAGAGAAAGAATGTTCATTATCAGCGAGAAGACAAGTAATCCAATTGTCACTGAGAATAATTAGGAAATTAAAGCACATGTAGATGTAAAGTCTCTGATTTGAGCTCTGGTGCCATTGGTTAAGCCCCGGAGCTTTGGGGGCATTACGTTGAGCTAACCCTTGGAGAATTGCACTCAACAACTGCCTAAGCCCCCCTGCGTGGAAGGAGCAACCTCCAGCATTTCACGTTTGCACCCCCTTCCTTCTCCGTTCAACTCTGGTCTCTGTAACCTTGACATTCTCCTTGGCCCAAAGCTTTTTCTCCCTAGAACAGTGCGAAAAATATACCAGTATAGCCATGTTTTCCGAGATGGTAAAAGGCGAGTTTCAAATAATATTTTTTTTTAAAAAAAATATTTTTATTGGTTTTTATCATATAAAATTATAAAACATACCACACAGTTTATCACAAATACAATCTTATTGGACTTCCATCAGCACCTCTGATAATCCTCCGTCTTAATCACTTCTTATGCATTTCCTAACTTAATATTGCCTTTACATCTTTTAACATATCATCTCTCCTTCTACATTTTTACAATATTTCTTATCTTATTCCTCACAGAACTTCTTGTAAACCTACAAACGTCTTCTGGTCGTCACAAATACTTTTCAAATAATCCGTAAATTTACTCCAGTCTTCGGTGAATTTCTGGTCCCGCCGGTTTCGAATCCTTCCTGTTAGTTTGTCTCAAGTAAATAAATAAATGAAGCCAGCCAGCAAGCAAGCAAGCAAGCAAGCAAGCCAGCCCTGGGTCGTTTTCAAGCTACCTGTCCTCATGAAACCCAAACCTTCTTTGTCATCCTTTTATGGCATACAAAGGGTGCTTCTGAACTGCCGCTATTTTCAGGGTGGGATTAAATTGCATACTGGCAAATTTGAGCAGCATGGTTATTTATTTTATTACGAATATTTATATGGTTTTCCTGGACCTATTGGAATACTGCAGTCTGAAGCAGTGTCCCAGCAGAAATCGCTTACAATGTCGCTTAAAATGTCTGGGAAAATCCAGACTTATGGCAACCCATGTCAACAGTGTCGTTTTTTATGAGTTGCCTTAAAAATAACTCAAAAACTTCAATTTCTATTATTTGTATTGCATATTTGCCAAAAAGAAAAGAAAAGAAAAAGCTGAACAAATTTGGGCAATAAAAACTCAACAACTTTTCCATCCGGATTTTCACTGTTTGAAATATGGCATCCCTAATATCCCATTATTCATGAAACCATACAAGAAAAACCATATAAAAAACTAACAGTGGATCAGGAGATCTGGTGGGCTTCTTTGTGATAAGGAAAGTGGTGGAGAGTGCGCTGGGAAGAAGGCAAGATAACACTGGCTTGGATGCATCATCATCTAACCTCCCAGCAGGCAAGAGGAAATGAATGTTCATTAAATAATCAGTGTCATCTGGTCTCCCTGCAAATGGATCATGATGAATCCTTAATAAACATGTCATTTGGAAGCCTCCAAATCTGCTACCCAAAGTGGCAGCTCCTTGGGAAAAAAATTTCCCCATCCCCATTTTGTATTTATGTAATCATAGAGTTGTAGAGTTGGAAGGGACTGCCAAGGTCATCTAGCAAAGCAGGAACCACAGCTAATCACACCTGAGTGTCCTCAGTGTTGTGGCTCCTGCTCTGTGGAACAGTCTGCCTCTTAGAATCATAGAATCATAGAGTTGGAAGAGACCACAAGGGCCATCGAGTCCAACCCCCTGTCAAGCAGGAAACACCATCAGAGCACTCCTGACATATGGTTGTCAAGCCTCTGCTTAAAGACCTCCAAAGAAGGAGACTCCACCACACTCCTTGGCAGCAAATTCCACTGTCGAACAGCTCTTACTGTCAGGAAGTTCTTCCTAATGTTTAGGTAGAATCTTCTTTCTTGTAGTTTGGATCCATTGCTCCGTGTCCGCTTCTCTGGAGCAGCAGAAAACAACCTTTCTCCCTCCTCTATGTGACATCCTTTTATATATTTGAACATGGCTATCATATCACCCCTTAACCTCCTCTTCTCCAGGCTAAACATGCCCAGCTCCCTTAGCCGTTCCTCATAAGGCATCGTTTCCAGGCCTTTGACCATTTTGGTTGCCCTCCTCTGGACACGTTCCAGTTTGTCAGTGTCCTTCTTGAACTGTGGTGCCCAGAACTGGACACAGTACTCCAGGTGAGGTCTGACCAGAGCAGAATACAGTGGCACTATTACTGTCCTTGATCTAGATGCTATACTCCTATTGATGCAGCCCAGAATTGCATGGGCTTTTATAGCTGCCGCGTCACACTGTTGGCTCATGTCAAGTTTGTGGTCAACCAAGACTCCTAGATCCTTTTCACATGTACTGCTCTCAAGCCAGGCGTCACCCATCTTGTATTTGTACCTCTCATTTTTTTTGCCCAAGTGCAATACTTTTTTCTTGAAATAAGTCAGGTACCAACCACTGGGTGTTTTTGATGCCAGACTGCTGATACCAACTACAGTTGCCACTGATCTCTGTGTACTGTATGCCGTTGGATTGATGTTATCGTATCTGCCTTTTTCTTTTGTGTGTGGCGCATCCAAGGTGCCTTTCTGAACGGGAATCTGCTTGTCAGCAGCATCCTAAATAAATAAATCTGGGGTGCCCTTCAGCCTTAGCTGATCCAGAGTCACCTCCATTTTTTACAAGTCCTGCATCTCCAGGCCTGCTTCAGCCCCTGGCAGCATCTCCAGCCAGGCCTGGGAGAGACTGCTTCTGCCAGTCAGAGCAGATGGATTTGAGCTAGATGGACCAAAGGCCAGACTCAGCTCACGGCAGCTCCCTGTGTTTGCACGTTCACACATATGTGCACACACTTACTTGGAAATAATTCCCTCCTCCCAACATCCACACACCTTGAGCTCAGCAGAACTTATTCCAGATGAGACTTCTGCAAGATTGGCCTGCACAGCTTTACTTAATTGATCTCCCAAGCAAACCAATTATCACCAGAAAATAGGCAGCTATAATAGGAAAAGCAAGGGAAATGGCGGCAAACCATACTTAACTGCGAGATGGAACTCTGCATTTGACGGTGAGCTGGGAAGTAAAAAGGATGCAAATGAATTGCAGTGGGTGATAAAGAGAAAGAGGGAAGAGTGCTCAGCAACCTCCTGCTCTTGAAATATTACTTTCTTGGCTGCCCTTCAGAGCTCTGGGTTGCTATGCGACTAGATCACAACCTATTTTGCCTTGAGTTGGTGCAGCGAGGGCTACGTTTTAAATGTTCTATTCACAATACAATATAGCGCGTAATTGGAATGCTTGCTGCCAGTAGTTCCTGGTAACAGTTAGGGCTTCCAAGGATCATTCTCATAGATTTGGGGTGGCTGTCTTTTAAGTGTGTGTGTTTGTGTGTGTGTGTCACTATACTTTTTTTACGTGGGATGGTTTCTTCTCTACATATTCAGCAGTGATGATAGCTCTGCAAAAAAGAAAAAAGACAGCAGGAGACTCAAAGCAGCGAGCAAGAGATCTGTGTACTTTTACACAGCACACCTTTGTCACGAATGTAGGTGTGCAGTTTTCTGGAACATGGAGCGTCGAGATCTGATGAGCCTTTTGTTAACAGGCAACAACACAACAAACTGCTTTGATCTTCAGGCAATGGATGCTGCTGGTGTCTAATTCATTAACCAAGCAAGAAAAGAATCACCATCTCATGCAAGTCGCCATCTATTACCATGCAGTAAACATGACATGGAACTAATAAATGAAAACAAAAATCTCTCCCATTACATACCCAACTCTGCAGGAGAGGGCCTCCTGCTGATCCCATTTCGAAAGCACCAATAAAGTAGAAGGTACCTATAAGATATTAGAGACACCTGGGGGGTGGGATGCCTCTTGACTGTCCCTACCAGAACTTTAGGCTTACACAGTTAAAGTGGACTAAAGGGCTCTGTAACACTGAGTCAATAAATCCCCCTTTAAAGAGAAATGGACCATCTGCAGTTAGGAAAGTGTCAGGGAAAGGCATCAAAAAGTGAGAGATGAATGAATGGTTAACAGGAACGGGTATAAACACCCTGCAAACAAATCAGAACAAATGCTCCATGAAAACTGGATATACCCTAACCTCTGAGCAAGCTTTGCGCAAGGAAATCAGGATGCATGCTTAATAAATAGGTCATCCGGATGAGCTATTAGTAAAATTGCAGGGAATCTGACCTTCCCATGCCTAGAACCCATGCAGCCTAAATTCAAACATCCCAAAGGACATCCTGTGTTTTCGTAACCAATTGCCCTCCTCTCTCCCCACCCCCCATTTGCAAGTGATGGGACAGGGAGTAGCGCACTTTTTCATGTTTAAAAGCAGGCGGCCAAATTCTTCCATAGAAGACCAGCAGACAGTTGCATTAACTCCTGTAATCCCTTCCTGCGGTTTAGGAGACGCCACCCAGATTTATTAATTAAACCCAGTTATCTGGTGGCTACCGCGAATTAAGCATTTCCTCGTAATGGCTGCAATGAGGACTAATTCATTAGTAAATGTTTCCATTACATTTAAGGCGAGGGGCAACTTGATGGAGGCAGCGACGCTTCTGAAAGCCAGTTGTTGGAAACCGCAGGAGGGGAGAGCGCTCTGGGGCTCAAATCCTGCTCTTGTGGGTTTCCCACAGGCATCTCATCTGGTTGGCCACTGCGGGAACAGGATGCTGGAATAAGTGGGCCATTGGCCTGATCTAGCAGGCTCTTCGGATGTTCTTATGGATCAGCTCTGCTGGCCAACTGATGCAGAGAGAGAGAGAAAATGAAGAAAAGAGGGAGGGAGAGAGGGAGGGAGGGAGGGAGAAAGACAGAAAAAGGACCCTGTGTAGATAACAACAACAACAACTATTATTATTATTATTATTATTATTATTATTATTATTAATATCCCGCCCTCCCCAACCGAAGCCGGGCTCAGAGATAAACTGGTTATAGAGTTGGTGGAGCATTGCTGGCCAAGTTCACAGAATAAACAATCCATGGGGACCACTCAGTTTGGGTCACTTCTCCCCCTTCCCACCAACCTGCAAATTCTAGCCTTCAGGGGGACCCCATGACCTCCCGAGGGGCTTGTTGAGAGGCACTGGTGGTTGCAGATGGAGAGAGGGACAGGAAAGCTCCCTTCCAAAACCGGAAGCTTTTCATTTGGGAATTATAGGGACAGAACTACCTGAAATGTATAGAAACTTATTCATGTATGCTGCTACAGCAGCAAGAATGCTACTTGCCTCAAAATGGAAAGAAGCAGAGGCAAAGGAAGAATGGATACAAAAACTTATGGAATATGCAGAAATGGCGAAACTTACCGGAAGAATAAGAAATCAAGATAACTTTTTTTTAAAACAACAACAAAAGAATGGAAATGGTTTATTGAGTATTTACAGATAAATTATAAACAGATAAAAACACTGGGAAGATGATTGTAATAACCTGCAGTTTTATAAGAGTATGTATTTAAAGAAGATGAATAAATGAGCAAATTAAGTTAATTTGGAAATGCAGAAGATATTAAAAATAAATTTATTAAAATTTATTTATTATTATTAAAAATAACTTTAAGGAACCACAGAAAGACAGGGAAGGAGGTCAAGTTCTGAAATGTCAAAATGATTGTAAAATTAGTGAAATGTATAAAATTGAAAAGTATAAATAAATAAAAATTTAAAAAGGAAAGCTTCTTCCCATAAACTCTCCTGGTTCTATTGTCATGTCACCAGAGCCCTGCAAGACTGTTGAACGGCAAGATCCCTGTTTCTAAGATTGAGTGAATGACAACATCACTTTAAATGTCACTTTGCCACCCATCCCATGTTGACCCTTTCCACCCTCTCCCAGCTCACGACCCTATGACGGTATGCTCACTGATACTAATAAAATGGGCATTATATACTGCTCCTTCTGGGGGGCCAAGGCAGGTAGACAGACAGATTCAACACCACTGCATGCATTTTTGGACCCCCCCCCTTTACTATTATTATATGAGGCATTTTGTGTTTTATGCTGTAGGCCGTGGTCTCTTGATGAAGGGTCAATATTAAAATCTTTTGATAATTAACAATAATAAGTTTCCTTGGGGTTATGGTTATGGCGGCTGCCATGAGTTTCTGAGCTTCAGAATTTATTGCCATGCCACCACCTCTTAATGGAGAAAATTGGGCACTTGTGGATTACTTGCTTTGTATGCAGAAGGTTCTGGGCTCAATCCAGATTGGGAAAGACTCCCGTCCAAAGCCCTGGAAATCTGATGCCATTCAAGGTAAGCAATAGGTAAAGGTAAAGGAACCCTGGACAGTCAAGTCCAGCGAAAGGCAACTATGGGGTTGTGGTGCTCATCTCGCTTTCAGGCTGAGGGAGCCGGCATTTGTCCACAGACAGCTTTCCGGGTCATGTGGCCAGCAGGACTAAAAACCACTTTTGGCACAATGGAACACTGTGACGGAAACCAGAGTGCAGGGAAACACCGTTTACCTTCCCACCACAGTGGTACCTATTTATCTACTGATACTGGTGTGCTTTTGAACTGCTAGGTTGGCAGGAGCTGGGACAGAGCAACGGGAGCTCACCCCGTCGTGGGGATACGAACCGCCGACCTTCCTATTGGCAAGCCCAAGAGACTCAGTGGTTTAGACCACAGCGCCACCCACATCCCAGAGAAAGCAATACCGAGCTAGGGACAGCCACGTATCCCTGCATTGCAGGGGGTTGGCCCTGAGGGTCCCTTCCAACTCCATGATTCTATTCTGTGAGATGGGCCTGTGGTCTGGCTTGGTACAAGGCAGCTTCCTTTGTTCTCAGGCATTTCTTCTTCTTCTTCGCCTGGATTTCCAGAGCAGGGTGCCATTTCAGTGAGCCGTCAGCAGTTATTCCAGCGGTGCTTGCCAATTGCTTCTGCAGCGGAGGATAGAGCCACAGCTCCCTCTGCTGGTTTAAGGGTCAAACAGCAATGCAGTTTCTAAAAATAAAAACAATACGTTGCGTTCATAACAGCAGTCGGGGGAAAAACAAAAAACAAACAAGCAGCCATTTTCCCCCAACCCTCTTTAGCAAAGCAAGATCAGGCTGGATCACTACGTCCTCTTAGCTGCTAACACACTGCTGCAAGTTTGCCTCTAATTGACTGTTCCCTATAAATACTGTTTTCTATAAATACAGAGAGGATGATTCATCAGCATGCTATTATCCTTCTCCTGCAAGGATACAAGGCCATTTGTTGGAGACATAACTCTTGCGGCTGTTGAAAGAGCTATGTCGGCTGCAGTCCACTTCTGAGCCCAGCTCAAGGGGCTCTTGCCCTAGGCATCTCCAAACTACCCTAAACACACCCTACGATCCTGAACAAATCTCCTCTGAAGCTAAGCAGGGCCAGACCTGGTTAGTACCTGGATCGGGGCCCACTTAGGAATACCAGGTGCCATAGGCTCTTTAGGGGCTGACGAGATGAGCTCCCTGGCCTGGAAAACAAAGGAAGTCATGTCTTAGAACAGGCATAGGCAAACTCGGCCCTCCAGATGTTTTGGGAGTACAACTCCCATCATCTCTGACCACTGGTCCTGTTAGCTAGGGATGATGGGAGTTGTAGTCCCAAAACATTTGGAGGGCTGAGTTTGCCTACGACTAAGTCTTAGAAGCACATCACCCAAGAACACAAATAAATGGACTTTGCTTCTCAGGCTTAGAAAGGACCACCAGGTGGCAGTGTATCAACAGAAGAGATTTGGGTTCTCGCAGAGGTGTTTTTTGACCCTGTAAAGGAATGCAGCATCAGCGACCAATGGTTCATCTTCGAAACCTGAATTGTGAAAACATTCTCCAGCTGTAATGCTGAGGACTAGGTACTTGACTTATATCAGATTCATTTCTAAGGCTTTATCATGAGAGTTAGTGAGAGATTGTGGTTTTAGGATGTTGAACCAGGAGCACAGGGAACCAGGTTAAAATCCCTACTCAGTTATGAAGCTTGGCCAACTCACAGTCAACTTGGCTAACTTCTTTGAAGACAGAGGGGGAACTATTTATGCTACCTGAAGCTCATTGGCAGAAGATGGGAATAATAATAATAATAATAATAATAATAATAATAATAGTCTGGTTGCTCCTAGGACGCGGGTGGCGCTGTGGGTAAAACCTCAGCACCTAGGACTTGCTGATCGTCAGGTCGGCGGTTTGAATCCCCATGGCGGGGTGCGCTCCCGTCGTTCGGTCCCAGCGCCTGCCAACCTAGCAGTTCGAAAGCACCTCCGGGTGCAAGTAAATAAATAGGGACCGCTTACTAGCGGGAAGGTAAACGGCGTTTCCGTGTGCTGCGCTGGCTCGCCAGATGCAGCTTGTCACGCTGGCCACGTGACCCAGAAGTGTCTGCGGACAGCGCTGGCCCCCGGCCTCTTAGGTGAGATGGGCGCACAACCCTAGAGTCGGACACGACTGGCCCGTACGGGCAGGGGTACCTTTACTTTACCTGGTTGCTCCAGCTTTCTTTTTTTTACCAAAGTTTTTGAGATTTTGGGGCAAATTCACATGCCCCCCCAAAAAAAAGAAAAGAGAGAGAGAGTTATTGAGTTATTTTTAAGGAAAGTCGCCAAAAACGACACTGCCCACATGGGTTGCCATATGTCCAGATTTTCCTGGACATTTCAGCAATTTCTGCCCGGATACTGCTGCTGACTGCTGTATTCCGGATAGGTACAGAAAATTCCGGACATATGCAACCCTACCTCAGCCACTCCAGGCAGCTTCCAACATATATAAACATATCATAAAGCATTAAGCATTAAAAAAACTTCCCTTCAGATGTCTTCTAAAGGTTGACATATCAACACAATAAATAAACACATGCATTCTGATGTTCTGTTCATTTCCACCCCCCGCTGCCACTCCCCTAACCTAGTTTGCACATTACTTTTGTGGCATAGTTATTATTGGAAAAACTGCACCCTTGTGGTCAGATCCAATGCCACCCGGGTAATGTGTTCCAGTGCAGATCCCCTGGGCTGCACAGTAGTGTGTCTCTCACTCCAGTACATTACCCCCATGGGGAATGCTGATGCTGAAGCTAAATCATGGGTAGGCAAACTAAGGCCCGGGAGCTGGATCAGGCCCAATCTCCTTCTAATCCGGCCCTCGGACAGTCTGGGAATCAGTGTGTTTTTACATGAGTAGAATGTGTGCTTTTATTTAAAATGCATCTCTGGGTTATTGTGGGGCATAGGAATTCGTTCATTTTCCTCCCCAAATATAGTCCAACCCCCCGCAAGATCTGAGGGACAGTGGACCAGCCCCCTGCTGAAAAGGTTTGCTGACCCTGAGCTAGATGTACGCATGTAATGTATGCAATCTACGATAATAATTGCAGTTGGGCAGAATGCGCTGTTCTTGTGCTCTGGTCCTCCTTGCGCATTTCCCATGGGAACTCTGGTTGGCCCCTGTGAGAGCAGGATGCTAGACTGGATGGGTCCCCCTTGGCCTGATCCAGAAAAGGGTCTTCTTACTTTTCACTTGTGACTAGGGTGGTTTGGGAGCTAACCACACAGCGGAGCAGTTTTGCAGCTCCAATCGCATTACAAAAAGGTGTTCTTAAAACGGGGTCTGCATTTAATCTTCAGCTTCATTATAGAAGCATTGGAAGGAAATTCCCTAGGATTCAATTGCATTTGAAACTTACGCTGTGCTCTGGAACCTCATCATTCAATCACAGATGTGTATGGGCCAGTTTATCAGTGATAGCATGGGGCATTCTATAGTCTGACCTATATATCAGATATTAGGTAGGTAAAGGGACCCCTGACCATTAGGTCCAGTCGTGGACGACTCTGGGGTTGCAGCGCTCATCTCACTTTATTGGCCGAGAGAGCTGGCATACAGCTTCTGGGTCATGTGGCCAGCATGACTAAGCTGCTTCTGGCGAACCAGAGCAGTGCATGGAAACGCTGTTTACCTTCCCACTGGAGTGGTACCTATTTATCTACTTGCACTTTGACGTGCTTTCGAACTGCTAGGTTGGCAGGAGCAGGGACCGAGCAATGGGAGCTCACCCCGTCGCGGGGATTCGAACCGCCAACCTTCTGTCCTAGGCTCTGTGGTTTAACCCACAGCGCCACCCGCATCCCTTATACCAGATGTTAAGGCTGCTTATATTAGGTTGCACAGCATTGCAGTAGAGTACAAACACTGCCTATAAAAGTTCCCAGGTTCAACCCCTGGCGCTTCCACTTTTTAAAAGTATCAGGTCCTTCCCCAACACGGTGCCCTCCAGATGTTTTGAATGCAGTCCTCACCACCTCTTACAATCAGCCATGCTAGCAAGGGCTGATGGGAATCGTAGTCCAAAAAAAATCTGATGAGTACCAGCTGAGCTCTACAAAGGTAACTGAGACTGAGGAGGAAGCTGGCAGTTAGGACTGGTTGTGGGCAAGAAGGTAGGCAGATGGGGGCTGTCCAAAGGTAGACTGGGACTGGTGGGACACTGCCCCATTCGCCCGAGCTGACCAACCTCCACTGCCTGGAGGTGGATTTCAGCGTCGCAAATGAGCAGGATGTTTTCCTTTCCCCATCCAATATACACGGATGTTCAGGTCAGGCTGTGGTGCCCAGGAGCACATCTGAGGCCCTTTATAGCAGCATCTGGAAGATGTTAGAGTGTTAGAGGAAACCACAATTACTTAATCAGGCCGTGTCCATCTGCATTAGCCTTTGCCATGGGAAATTTGTAATCATTCACATGCCCCGTGCAGAACAGAGCCCAGCGCCACCTCCGCACATTGACCAGTCAGGTGTGAGCAGTCATTTCTCCCCAGTGATCAGGTAGTGCAGGATAGGGGTGGGTGGAGCTGTCACTTTTGGTTTCTCTCTGTGTTTTCAAAGGAGCCTTCCACATTTCCACCTCAGTTTGTGATTTCTCATGCAACATCTTCAGATTTTTAGGGACCATTTCAAATAATATACACATTCTTCTAGTGCAGGTTTTCCCAATATACATATTTATGTGCAATGTTCTCCTGAGGGAGGCTTTCCTGGTGCCTTCATTACATATTTTTAGGCACCAGGTGGAAACCTTTCTCTATAACCAGGCATTTGGCTGATTAATTATGGCCTTTGCTATTTTTCTAGAAAAAGAGGTGCAGGAACTCACCATGAACACCTCCCTCGTTCTCTTAGAATGGCAATGGCACACACCTGAGAGGTGCCAGAACTGAGTTCTGGTAAGTTTGGTTGAAAAAAAAAGCCCCGCTTTTAAATGTGTTTGTGGGAGCAGGGTTACTGGTTTGTTCTTGTTTCATTATGTATTTTGTATGTTTTTATGTTGTGAACTGCTCTGTGATCTTCGGACAGACAGACAGACAGACAGAGAGATCCCAAGTACCGTACGCTGCATTCTCATGGATGCTTCAACTGCAACAAACAGACAGATGGCTGAGCATCCCGGAGAGACTCCGAACGGAAAGGAAGAGCCAAGAAGAGTCCTGGGGTCATTTCTACATGAGCAGCCATTCCCAGTGGAAGCACAAGAGGAAAGGCAGATGATGAGCAGCCTCCTCCATCGGCTCTGCACAACTTGTGCTGCCACAGCTGGAGCCTGAAGACCCAGCCGCCTCTTTCTCTCTCTGGGGTGCTGCTGTGCAGATTTCCTTTAGCTCTTTCTTAGCCCATTTCCCACAGTTCATTTCCTTTGTTTATTGGCCTGTGAACTTTTTGTTTCTGCCGCTATCCATGCTTGCATTCCTCTCCGCCCCCCCCCCCAGCCGCCCTGCTTTCTTCTCTTCATGTTTGGTTATTTAGGCTACCCTTCCCCAACCTGGTGCCCTCCAGCTGTTTGGATGACAACGACCATCAGCCCAACCAGATAAGAGTTGTATTCTAAAACAGCTGGAGGGTGCCAGGCTATGGAAACCTGGTTGCAGTGTTACAAGCCTCTGCAATGTGACACAGCATCCGTCTCCTAACAAAGATTCTAGTCCCTATGGTGTAAAAAAGAAAAGAAAAGGAAGTCCTCTTTGGATGCTGTGTTATCTTAAGGTTGCCCGATACCAGGCTCAGTCCCATGCAGATAGTGTGGGGCAGGACTTTGGGGCAGATGCTCAGGGCCCCACTCAACACGAAAGGCAGAAAGGCTCCCCAATGCAACAAGGCTGGCTTGCCATGTTTCCAGGTAATGCACTTTGACATCAAAAGTGGTGGGCCCCTATAAGAGCCTTTGAACTAATAATAATAATAATAATAATAATAATAATAATAATAATATACCCCGCCCATCTGGGTTTCCCCAGCCACTCTGGGTGGCTTCCAACAAAGCACTAAAATACAATAACCTATTAAACATTAAAAGCTTGCCTAAACAGAGCTGCCTTCAGATGTCTTCTAAAAGTTTGGTAGTTATTTTTCTCTTTGACATCTGGTGGGAGGGCGTTCCACAGGCTGGGCGCCACT